AATTTTGGGAAGTGAGACAGCCTGGTTCCGGAGACTCAGACATAAGGAGGGGCCTCACTTACGTGCAGGTGGCGAGGGAGGAGGAACGGAGGCCTGCAGGAGCTGAGAGCACCAGCACCAGGGTAACAAGTGGCAGCACACCCCGCATGGACTAGTGCAACGGTGAGTGTCCCTCGGGGACTTCCAGAAAGACCAGGGAGGGATGTGTGTTAAAGGGTGGCTTTTCTGTTGTCAAGGAGACAGAGGTTCAGATGATTATCACTCAGCCAGGAGTTTCACAACTTTTCTCTGTTGTTTTCCTATCTAGTCCAGGGAACTGGACAGCCAGCCTATAGGGACTGGGCCGTTTTCTAGCGTGGTCCATGAAAACCATGAAAACCATGTCACTCTCTTTCCCCTCCGATTCTTATAATGACACATAATCATGCACATTATTTGTAGTGGTCAACACCGGGGCCTTACTGACAACAGCTCTTGCTCAAATCCTTGGTCAGCCATACATGAGCTGTGTGACTGTGGGTAAGTCATTTACCCTCTCTGAGCCCCTGCTTCCTCATCTATAGAGAATAACATCTACCTTATGGGTTGTTGTAAGGGTTTGGGCGGGAAAGCACCTTTTCTGTCTCTGTAGTTGGGAGCCCATGACGTGGGCCCGAAGGGATGTGCCAATTTCCCTGGCCCCCAGGGAGAGGAGGGTACTTGAGTGCAGTGTTCCAGGAACCTCCTACTTGGGCAAGTTTCTTATTTGTGTCAAGACCATTCTCTTCCACTTCATCCTCAATTCCTGCCATGGGCACCACTGTTCCCCATCCACCCAGCCTGCAGATAAGCCAGTGACAATGTTATCGCAGCTGCCAGGCCCTTTGGGGCAGAATTCCTTTGTTGGGCAGTCTTGGCTCCTGTGGGGTTCTGGGTGGACTGAGGTTCAGATGCACCACCGAGAGGGCCCGGGGCAGGGCCTGGCTCCTAGTGGGCACTCAGTCAGTGTTCACTGGATGAACACAGCTGGTGACCCAGAGCTCTATAGATGATGGCAAGGCCTTCATCTGGAAAGAGCAAAAGGAGTTGGAATGAGTGTTTACCTGTCACTGCGTGGCTGGGGGACAGTGCAGCACCAGGAGTTAGGGGGCCTGGCTTCTTACTGGGTGAACCTGGGCAAGTCACTTCACCTCTGGGAGCCTTTTAAAATCATCTGTCAAGCGGAGGTAGTGATAACAATTGTGAACTGTAAAGTGCAACCCGTGTCCATCGATGGGTGAATGGATAAAGAGAAATGTGGTCTGAATGTACAAAGGAATATTATTCAGCCTTAAAAAGGAAGGAAATTCAAATATATGCTACAATATAGATGAACCTTAAAGACACTGTGCCAAATGAAGTACACCAGTAACAAACACACAAATGCTGTGTGATTCCACGTGCATGAGGTCCATGGAGTAGTCAAATTCATACTGAAAGAAAGCAGAATGGTGATTTCCAGGGCTTAGTGTTCAGTGGGGACAGAGTTTCAGCTGGGGATGAAGAAAGAGGTTTGTAGATAGACGATGGCTGTAAAATGTGAATGTACTTAGTGCCTTTGAACTGTGCACTTGAAAATGGTTAAGATGGTCAATTACGTGTTATGTGCATTTTATCACGATGCCGAAAGATTTAAAAAGTGCTCTGTAATCACCACCTCCTGTGTGGAAACACAATTGACCTTACCCAGAATCGAGCCTTTCCACTTGCCCACACTTAGAAATGGCTGAGTCCTGAAGATTTAAAATTCTGGGTGAATTCCTTTTTTTAAAAAGATATATCTTTATTGATTTCAGAGAGAGGAAGGGAGAGGGAGAGAGAGATAGAAACATCAATGATGAGAGAGTCATTGATTGGCTGCCTCCTGCATGCCCCCGACTGGGGATTGAGCCCGCAACCTGGGCATGTGCCCTGACGGGGAATCGAGCCACGATCTCCTGGATCCTAGGTCAATGCTCAACCGCTGAGCCATGCCCGGCCGGTCTGGGTAAATTCTTGATGTTGTCAACTTATGAGATGATTATGGTGGCCCTTTGGGGTCCAAAGGAGAGAGGAGACATGGGATGGATGGCATCTGCATTTGAATGTCCCATTGTTGCTCAAGGTGGAGCTGCCACCAGCTGAGATAACATCTGTGCCTCTGAAATGCTTCCCAGTTTTCACTGGGGTTATTACTGTTACCCCCACAAGATTTGTGCCCATGAGGGAGGAAAGTGAGCTTCTTCCCTGTGGGTTGATGGAATGACCTCACAAAAGCACTAAACCCAATATTATAATAAATCTTTATCTTGAGCTGCAGAAAGTTCCTCCATAAAAAGGAAAAAGCCTAAGACAGATGGTGGGAAATTGCATTAAACTTTTATTGGTTGGATCTTGAAGTGACTTTTGTAAGAAATAAAAGGTTAGAATGCTGGATTGTACCGAGTGGGCTCCTTAAGTCGGTGTTTCCTAAAGTGTAGACCACCTGAGCTGGAATCACCTGGGGGTCTTGTTAAAAGGATGCACAATCCAGAGTTCCACCTGAGACGTTGTGAATCAGGATTTCAGGGGGTGGGGGTGGAGCCTGGGAGTTTGTATTACTGACAGACCCTTTGGTGATTCCTGTTGACTGACTGAAAAACAAGAGCCCAGGGCCAAGGAGGAACAGCTCTCAGAAGCCCACTTTTCTTTTTTTAAAAAATATATCTTTATTGATTTCAGAGAGAGGAAGGGAGAGGGAGAGAGAGAGAGAGAAACATCAATGATGAGAGAGTCATTGATCGAGCCCGCAACCCGGGCATGTGCCCTGACCGGGAATCGAACCCCGATCACCTGGATCCTAGGTTGATGCTCAACGGCTGAGCCATGCCCGGCCGGGCAGAAGCCCACTTTTTGACATCAACAGCAGTGACACAAATGCAGGTAAAGTGCCTGGTATACAACTGGGGCCTCCCTTCCCACACCCCAAACTCCTTTGATACTAGTGGGAGGTGGGAACCAGTCTGAGCCTTATCCAGGCCTGGGGCCTAGAATTAGTCCGCTCGCTCCTGACGCCACGCACACCGGGTGATGGTGGCCACGCCGCTTTCCCTGAGTCACTCAAGCCCCCTGCTGTAGACAGCATGCCTGTCCCGATGCCTCAGCAAGATTAGAGGGGGCTAGCAGTTGGTTTGTTCATCTCCCATGCATTTTAAGAGAGATTTAGGAACCCCTTACTATGTCATCTAACTAGTGTTCAGCAGGGGACGGTTACTCCTTTTGACCTGCGCTCCCTGGTTCGAGGTACAACTCTTGATTGTCAGCATTTTTGCAGCCTCAAGATTTCTTGTCCCTTTCATATTCAGCTCTTTTTAACATCCTGTTCCTTCTGTTTGCCATTTAAATGATTCCCTATGATTGTTTTTCAGATGCCAAGGAGAGTTTTAGGCAAATATATATTGCTGCTTAAAAAGTCTTCAAGATGTAGTACTGGTATATTATTTTAGTTAAGCCACAGGTTATCTATCACCTATCTATCTATCTATCTATCTATCTATCTATCTATCTATCTATCTATCTATCTATCATCTATCTATCATCTATCTATCATCTATCTATCATCATGTTTCTGCTCAAATACACACTTACATACACATCCATATACAGACACAGGCATAGACACACACATATATTATGTTTAGAGTAAAATATACACACAGCCAGCAGCACACATCCTGTTCCCATGGAGACAATTCTACAAGGGCTTAAAATCATTGCTTAATGTATAAAGGTATCAAAAGACTAATTCACGCCTCGGGATCTTGGTCTTTCTCATGTATATGCAGTAGTGAAATTTACATAACTCTCCAGCTTAAGGAATTCAGTGCTCTTCCCGACTACAAAAACCTACGCGTGGGCACTGAGTTGTCTGAGGGGACTTAAGAAGTGTTTGTCCAGGGTTGCTGCAGCTTCATGGGTGTCATGAGCACTCTGTTGGGGTGGGCAGTGAGCGGTGAGGCTGAAGGCAGTAGAGGGAGACTGAAGGCACTGTGTGGTGCACCTTGGAGTCGTCTCTGTGTGGTGTGGCTGAGACAAATCAGTCACGGTGCTTCCCGGGTGAGCGCGGCCACCAGTGTTTCTGGAGGACTGTCATGCCCATCCCCACCGGCCCTGCTGTGCTGGGCAGGCCAGGCCCACGGTGCTTCCTTGGCCAGAGAGCTCCAGGCCCAGAAGTGGGGGGTCATTGCCAAGGAGGCAGCACAGGGGGTGCCAGCGCACAAGCTTTCTGCTTCCTCCACCAGGTGGCCCAGGACCAGGTGCTCATGGTTCAGACTCATCCAGAGGAGAGGAGGTGATCTTCCAGAGGGTTGAAGGATACTGAGCCCCAGCCCCAAGCGAAAGGCTTGGGAAGAACCTTGAAAAAAGCCACAGGTATTCCACAGTGGGGCTAGGTTGGTGTGGCGACCGCAGTGGCCCACATAGCCTGGGTCAGGAGCTGGCTGTGCCCACAATGTGCTGTGTGACCTTGTTTCTTCCCCAGTGAGATGATGCTGAGGCTTAAGACTTGCGAGGCCCCACCCATCTCTTCTCTCCCGAATGGGGAGGCAACCTCTTCATGGTAATTACACTTTTCTGTACCCCACCCCAACACTCAGAAGCCTGCCTCCTGCAGGTGGGCAATGCAGCACTGTAGTCAAGAGCTCTGACGTTAGAGTCAGACACATGAGGATTTGAATTCAGCTCAGAAAAGTAGGCATCGTAAAAGTGCCCACCACATAGGGTCGTGAGGACCCAGGCGACTAGAGGCACCCAGCAGGAGGCTGGCGAGTACAAAGTCTAGTGAGTAGGAGCTCCAAGAGCCCCTGTGGATTGGGTCCGGTCTGGAGCAGCTGCTCTGATGGGCAAGGTCTTCCCCTCTGCTGTTTTCCCTCCGTTGTATTCAAATCGGGTAACAATGGGCCGCCGCTCTGGGAGGGGCTGAGGGTAGTTCCTCAGATCCCGGTGGCCTGAGCCCATTGGAAGGGCAGACACCTCTTTGGCTGGACATCTGGACCATGGACAGGGGTCTGAGTGACGGGGACAGTAAGTACAGCCCGGTGGGCGTGGGGCACCCACCTCTGCAGCGGGCCCGAGCCCTGAGCTCTGTGCCAGGCTCTGTGTGCCCTGCTGAGAGCATCCCTTCCTTCCCCCCTTTCTTTCCTGTGGGAGCCCGTTTACAGCCTGCAGGCTGGTGTTCTGTAAGGGCCCCTGGGCCACGGGGAAGGATGGCAAACACCCAAGATGAGAACTTTTCTCCCCAGTGACATTAATACTGTCCAAGTCTTGCAGTCTTTATACTTCCTCTCTCTAGTCGGCAGTCCCCACTCCTCCAGAGCCAAAAGTGAGTGTGACTGTGGGGCTTCTTATTACAATCATGCTTGGGATCAGTTCTTAGATGAGGTTAATTGTAAAGAAATGTCATGAAAGGTCTCTACTCATGGTCTCCTTCTAGCAAAGAGCCCGTGTGTTCATTACTGCTCCTCAAACAGCCTGGGTGACCCCATCCTGTCATTACTGGGACAGAAATACAATGGAATCTAAGGACTATTTAAAGAGATGGAGAAGGAAATGGTATTTTAGGAAAAAAATGTGCTATGTTTAAAAAATGGAAATTTTTGATCCTGAATTCGGAACGAGGAATGTGGTACAGTGTTGGATTGGGAATTGGGAGGCTAGTTTTCAATCTTCTCTGCTATAAATTGGCTGTGTGATCATGGGCAAGTCATTTAACTCTGAGCCCCAGTTTTCTCATCTATAAAAGGAGATTGGGTGAGGAGTTCTTAATTTAAAGGCCATGAAGCTGTGGGCAAAATGTGTGAATGTGCTTTTTTTTGGAGGTGGGGGTCCACAGATTTCATTTGAATCCCAGAGAGGCCTCTAACACTAGTACATTTTCGTAGTCACTGAACTGGGTGACCTTGAAGGCCCTTCGAGGGTCCAGCACTCTCTGTTGTCTTTAAGGTTGTTATCTCAAAGCATTAAGCTTCAGAGCCGCTGATGTGGGATATAAAATGGACTCATGCTAATCTTAGAGCTCAATTTAAATTTTGTTGGATCCCTTTTTCATATTGAAGTGGAAGCCGCATGGAGATACTTTAGCATGTGTTTGAGGAGGACCTCATCTGATATGCTGGAAATTGTGTGTTTACAGTCTTATTTTAATAAGCTTCTATTAGCATTCAAATGCAATCTTTCCTCTTCAAAACACTGCTCACTGGTAATCATTTATATTGGGATTTTCTCTTAGTAGAAATGGGCTAAGTCCGATCTCAATTCAAATCCAAGCTGTGCCTCCTAATTGCTGGGTGACTTTAAGTCACGTAACCTCTCTGAGCTTTATTTCCTCCATTTAAAACAGAGATGGTGTCATCTTTTAGATTTAGTGAAGGATTAATTGGATGTACAGTGCCTAACACATCACTCAGTCCAGAGTACGCATGAAGTAAATATTGACTCTAGAAAATGATTGGATTTTGTCCCCTAGAGTTTTAAAGTTAAACTGTTATTAATGAAGATATTGTCACCTGTGAGGTTTCTGTCTTGGCATCACCCTTTTAGTAAGCAGGGTGAGAGTAAGGTGAACACTTTAGTTCCCTTAACATTCTAAAATGTATGATAGACCCTGGTTCTGTCATAAGGTCACCTTCTGTGCTGGTTTCTAACACAATCAACCCTCACTTCAGCACTCAGGGTCTACTGCAAGAAAGGGGATTGTCCAGAAAAGTTTTTAGAGACTAAGTTGATGAACTCTGGAACTAAGTACATTTTCTCCAGGTTTCAGACTTACTGATTGCTATAGGACTTCCATAATTTAAATGTCCCTTCTTAGGTGAGAGGCGGCTCCCACTTTGTCCAGATGAGTTACCCTTCCCAGTCACCAAAGTGCTGTCCCTTAGTGTTTGAGTCTATAATGTGGACAGTTTCAATGAGAGACTATCTTCCTCCAGTGATACACTTTGGGACCAAAGGTGGCATGGAGAGGGACATTCTGGGATGTGACACCCACATGGAAGTCACCTTGAAGGCCATTTAGCACAGCCGCTGTGAGATGCTGGGATGCCTCCGACAGCATCACCAGCTGGAGGCAGGATCTCCCACCGTTGACTGGAGCACCTTCCGTGGTGGGCTGGTCCCCCTTCTACAGCTGACACTGTCAAATGTTTTCTTACATTGAGTTGATAGCTCTTTTCCTGGAGCTTCTACTCTTTGGTTTTTATTCTACACCCAAAGGCTACTCAGAACCTGTCTGTCCTAAGTTTAAAATAAGAACTCTTCCAGAGCCCTTTCTTCTCTAGCTTGGCCAGGTCCTGGCTCTTCAGTGGTCCCAGATGTAATGTGTTTGTAATCATTCTTCTCTTAGAGGGAGAAGTCCTAGCTCAGAGCTGAAGAGGAAAAATCCCCGCCCTTACTCTAAAAACCATATCTTTTGTAATATAACTTCTTTTGTTGCAGACTTATACCCCTCCCAGAAATGGTAAGCAAGAGCCTCTTCAAGTGAGATGGGCTGTAACTGGAGCCCCTGGTAATTTTAGGAGGAGGCATCTCTAGTCCAGGACGATAGGACCTCGGTGATACCTCCTTACTCCTAGGGATTGGTCCCTAGGGAGGTGGGGGCAATAATCTGAGGCCACAAAATTGTCACCATCAGTGACACAGTGCTGAAGAGATGGGACTCTCCCCTTGGCATCCGGACCAACTCTGCTCCCCAAAGGGTTGCGCATTAGAGTGCCCCTCACCTCAGCTCTGGGTTGGAGATCTGAGACTGGATCTGAAGCTATCACGGTCAGAGTGAGAAAGGATGCTGGATTTCCTGGCAGGAGACCAGCTGCCAAGAGCCTTAGTCACTGACCTTGAGACTCAGCGTTTTTACCCATCCCTTAGGATGGAGGCACGGCGACCAGGAATGCAGGCCTTTCCTGCCAGGTTGGCCCTGGCCTCACAGGGCCCCTTTGGTCTTTCCTTCTGGCTGCCACATTTCTGGAAGAGGATTGTGGGTCTGCAAACACCTAATGGAAAAATACTGTCCCCTTTGGGGAGTAAGAAATAAAATCTTTAATGACATCATGTCATAGCTTAGAGAGGATCCCAAGAACTCTCCCAAATTTGTTTGCAGAGCTCTCTCTTGTCTGCTGCACTGTTTGCTCCTCTCATGACCATGCTTCCCAAGCCCTGTTTTGGGGAAAGGATATGAAGGCCCTAGAAAGTTAAGTGATTTTTCCTCTAAGGCTACACAGCAGCCTAGCTATTCTGTGCTGTGCTCATGGCTGGGGGAACAGGAGGAGTAAAACATAGACCTGCCTTCAAGGTTTCAAAGTCTAGTAGGGGAGGAAGACCTCGAACAGGCGTTTTACAAGTCATAGTTCTTATAAAGCCATTTGGCAAAAGCAATGACAGGGAGTGGAGTTCTCTCTCAAAAGCAGTGGCGTTCTGAGGTCCCACAGGAGGAGAACCACACCCCGGCCAGCTTCGCAGGGGGTGAGATCTGGGCTGAATAGGCCTGAGCCAGGTGATGGGGTGGCACGGTCGGACACATCAGAGCAAGGGCTGGGAGAAACGCCACAGTGTATGTGTGAAGATAAATGCAAACCTCAGTGTCATGAACTGACAGGTCGCCTCCAGAAAGGAGAGGCAGCTCTTAGAAAGCCAGGCCCCATGTGGGCCTCTCTGGGTCCGATGGCACCTTCTGCAGAGCACGAGTTTTACATTCCCACTTAGTGAAAACATGTTGTGACACTTGCTGCATTCTTCCCCGGCCCAGCAGAGGGGCTACAGAAGTCCAGGGAAAACTTCTCCCAGGTCTTCCTCCCCCCATTTCTCTTGATGTTGGTCTCACTCACATTATAGTTCCTCCTCCAAATATTTCCTCAGTGTCCCCACCCCAAAGCTCCCACACTTCTCTATCGAGCCTCAAGCAGGCTTGTCTCTCTCTCCCCCGTCTTTCTGCTCTGTTCTTTGTCCCTAAGACCTCACCCTCCTCAGTTAGCTGTCTTCCCTTCTCTGGACAACCAGAGGAGGAGTTGCTCTGGACAACATAGGAAGAGTTTTTCCCCATCATGGGAGGAGATAAGAACCTTATCTTCCTGTCCCATAGGTAATATTGGGCCTTATCTGAAGTTCAGGAGCTTGGACATTAGCTGTGGGTAGTGGTGAGCCCCTGCGGTGTTTAAGACACGGGATGGCCTGGGCAGGCTTTCTGGTCTTGCTAGGAAGGCCTTTAATTAGTGCAGCCAATTATTTGCCTGTTTGTTCTTCTTGACAAAACAGGACTTCTTTTCTTTATCTTATAATCACCTGAACTTAAATTGTGGTAAAATACATATAATATAACATTTTCCATCTTAACAATTTCTAAGTGTGCACTCAGTGGCATTAAGCACCTTTACATTGTTGTTCAACCATCATTTCCATCCATCTCTGGAATGTTTTCATTTCCCCCAACTGAAACCCTACCCATTAAATAAAAACTTCCCATTCTCCCCACCCCCACCCCTGGAAAACACCATCCTACTTTCTGTCTCTGTGAATTTGACCACTAGAATCTCTCTTGCATCATCTTAAGCATAATTTAAATTATAAGGCATTTATGTGCACCAACTGTATGCAAGAAGAGAGAAGGGTTTCCCTGTCTAAAAGGGGCTCTTACACCTGTTGAAGGAGATAAAATATGAAATAAACTAAAGCAAGATAGTGGTAGGAGCAGAGAAGTGGCAGAGAAGTGGCAGGATTTCAGTGCTGGTGACATGATTAATCTGGAACCAGGGGCAGAAGGCGTGGGCTCTGTTTATCCTTCTGAAAGAAAGGGATTGACGTTTAAAAGAGAAAGGCTATCCATTAATTATGCCCTTTTTAACAAGGAAAATTCCTTTCTGTACAAACAAAAAGCAGCTAGTGGCTGGTGAGCAGAAACACTGCCTCGGTAACACTTTGCAAAGCCGCCTCAGCAACCACCGCCCGATGCCATTTGCACGGCGCAGTAGGGTGTTCAGCTAAGTGGAAAGATCATTGTCCTTGGAACTGGGACCTGAGTTCTAAGTACTTTTTCT